TTGATAATTAGAGTTCTCTCTTTTTGATACTTTTATTTAGCAATTTCATCATTTGAGAAAATATATATATGGATACATGAAAAGAGAAATTCCTTTAGATTCATCCAATGTCAAATATTATAAAAGGAAGAAAGAAGACAAATGATAAAAGTTGAAAAAGTTTTAGTGAGACATGGCATGGAGCGCATTTGGAGGAATTTACTCTTAAGGAAAGTTGAATTTTGGGTATGAAGTAGGTTTCTTTAAATTGTGGGAATTCAATTAAATGGTAAATTCTATTGTGGTGTCTACTACATCAACTCAAGTCACCAGAGTTCAAATCATTCCAGCATCCTCAAAAAGTGATTGATTAGTCAGCCATAAGTTCAAACTGAATCACACGAATTTCCATTTAAATATTGTCAAAGTTCCGCTTTTATAAAAAAAAATCTTTTACTGATCGTGCTCATATCGAGACAGAAATCAAGGTGTGGCAAATTATAATATTTCTGTTCCTCGCTCTCTCAGTCAGTGCTGACTCTGTGTACACATTATGTGTATGCATGTTCTTTACTCACTCTTTATTTTTGTTTATTTCGTAGATTAGTTATTTATTTGATGATTTCCTGTCCCAAAATAAAAATTACAGCCCACGAAACAATCCCATCGACAGAAAAAATAAAATTTTGTTCAATGAATTTCACTCCTTACTTGATTTGGCATCAAGTTGAGGAACAAACACAATTCGAATGTATCAAAAAAAATAAGTAAAATGTTGTCAAACGTCACGGAGATTTGTTCATCAAATATTTCATACCTGTTTCATACATTTTAGCCTCGTCATTCACAAAAACTTTTGATTTCTTCTTATTTCAAGACGCAAACAATATGTTAGAATCAATTACATAGCACAAAAGCCGTAACAAATAAATTTGCACATTTTTTACTTACTCACTTGTAGCTTTTTCATGTTGAATATCTTTAAAGAATAAGAAATAAAGTCATTAGAAGGCAAGGAGAAGTAAATGACAACGGAAAATTGAAATTAAAATGGCATGAAAGGTGATTTCAATTGGAACTCAATTGATGGAATTGACAAGCTTGGTGAACTTTTTTTTTTCGGTGGATTAAAGCTTTTAAATTAAGCAATTCTTATTTGGCTTTATTATTTTAAATTAAAGACTAATCAACAGTTTTGGAAGTTATGGTTAAGAGTCAAGAGGTTTTGTGTCATGTACTGTTTCCCGAATGGCACAAGTCGGTTAATCGAATAAAAATCCGGCGCACACCCAACATGTCTCTGGCTTCGATTTAAATCCAGCACCATGCCAAAGCATCAATAACCAAATACGAATGATCCAGGGGCGTAGCCAGGGGGGGCCATAGAAGGCCCGGGCCCCCCCTACGAAAATCTGATAATTGTTTTACTAAGTATTTATGGAGAAGAACCATTTAATGTAGGAAGTGATGAAAGAAATGTCAAAATCAGCACGAAAAATTAAATTTAATTTTTGAATAATGAATTAAATATTTAAACTTATGAAGTATGAATATAGATTTAAGGATACAAAATAACGGTTTTTTAATTTTCGAAAATGCCCCCCCCCCCCTTAAAAATTTTCTGGCTACGCCCCTGGAATTATCTTTAAATTTTCAAAATCATGAAATTTATAATCAACATCCAGCAACCACAAACTAGAACTTATGAAATTTTCCCCATCCCAAATAATCCCATAACAGCATTAAATTACTCAAGAATCTTTCTTATTCTTCTTCATGATCGCGCAAAGGAGCAAATTAATGAAGAATAAAAAATTTCGCATAATTTAAAGATTTCATTCTTCTTTGCTCCTTTCATCATCAGACATATCAACAATAAAATGTGAACAGTTGAAAAAGAAGGCAAAAAAAAGAGACAAACTCGCAAGCGAGACTCGATAATTTTGTGTCATTACGCTTAAGCTAAGAGACATGCTGTCAATGCAGTAATTTGCTTTTATGCACTCTTTTTTTTACCTTCCTCGAAAATGTTTCTCATTTGTTGTTCTCTGTGCCTGATTTTTTATTTTTATGTATCACATCACAATATTGCACATTCAGTATCGCAATGCATTACAAAGACAGTAAATTATCATTAATGATCATAATAAAGATGATGTCAAGCACGTGCCGACACAATGAGTATGAGTTACAACGTCTCTGACATTCTTCGTCGTCGTATGTCTCATATGTGTGTATGTCGAGGTGCTTCATGTGCAGAATAACTTTTTCCTGTTTTATTTTTGGCAATATCGGAAGATTTATCGATTCTCTTAATTGAATGTGATGTATGAATATGCATTTTATTATTTGCTGTGGTTTGGAAGTTCGTCGTAAACTTTGGTGGCATTTTGGGGGCATAAGAATCAAACCCACATCGAATTGAGGGATCTCTGACTGAATCATCGTTGATCGCTGTCAGTTGACTAGCTTAAGCACTTTCAGTATTTGAACAAAAGTCCTACACATTTAAATCCATGGCTAAAACTTCATGTCTACAAACCAGACTATATATCCAGATACTCATCCAAATGCACACTACTTTCTTAAATTCCCATTAAATTCCTTCTACTTACCTCAAATCCATAATCGAATGCTCATTTTCACCTCTTTTATGCAATCAGCAGAAGCATGTTAAATAACAACATTAAGGATTATGCTGCAAATTATGAGATGAAAAATATTCAATGTGTCAAAATATTTTCGCTTAACATCCAGAACAAAAAAACATACATTAACAGCATCAATGAGATGCCCATAAATTTTATGTAATTTTCATTTAAATTTGATTACAAGACACAAATTGAGCATGAAAAATGCAATAATTTTTCATTAGCCAAATTGTGCATCTGTAAAGATATGTCTTATTATGTGAAGTCTTGAATATAAATACCGAAATATTTTTTTGTTGTTTTGCATCGAACGGACCCAATATCAATGTGAGAATATTATTAATAACTTTATCCGGAGGGCAGGTTGATTTACAATGAGCTCATTGCACTCATCTTCATTTATCTTGAGAGGATTTAAGCAGAGCAAAGAATAAGATTGAGTTGGTGAGTTATTGGTGATGATGAAGTATTAAGGCGATGTTTTCGGAGTTCAATTGATCTTTCATTGCCTTATGAATTATACCATTAAAAAGTATTAATCAGAGTCAATGGGAATCGAACTTTAAGCTTATAAATGTTGAGATCTACTAAGTTAAAGATCTCTGTCGCTCAGCCATTGATGAAAGTGCTTTCCTTTGGCATTCTTTGGATAGAAGCGATCCATATCGTCAGCAACTCATTGAATTTGAAATTGACCAGGCAGTAACATTCTCTAGATAATCTAGCTAACACTGAAGCTTAACAGTTAGGTTTTCAGGTCAATATCAAGTGTATTCTCAAAAACCAACTGCAATCAGCACCCATAACAGCCCAAAATCATCAGCAAAACATGTTCATTTCACTTCCCGTTACCATAAATCCCTACATAACATTCCAAAGAGGACTAACCGATCATACAAATCCCCTCCAATAAATACTTCCAATAATATTCCGCACGAAACGAAAGAGGAAAAAATTAATTAAATTACGATCACATGAAAGCGATTATAAAGCATTTATGGCCTCATAAGTATTACTTTGATTCTCCTCCATGCTCCGACATCAATCGACAAAACAAATAATATTGCAAATAACCATCGTATAAAAGTTATGCCAAGGCAAATATTGAATGCATTTCGTCTTATCAGGAAAAAAAATATATATTTTTTTTTTATTTCAACCCACATTTTCTTCTTTCTCTTACAGTTTAAAGTCTCTGTGTTGTGCCTTTTTCTGTTTTACTAACTCGTTGCGTTTTCTGCGCCAAAAGATTCTCATTCCATACGATTCATTCGTGTGCATTGTAATTATAAGTTTTCGTAAAACATGTTTGTGCTCACCTTTCGATTAGAGTTTGCTGATAAGTTTCTATCGACCTCACGTAAGATTGAATCCTTTGTTCGGAGTACTTAGCGCTTGGTATTCAGATTTGTGGGTTTTTTGGTGTATATTTTTGTCGGTGAATGAGACTTGTGGGTTTTTGGAGGTTTTAGAAGCCTTGTAATAAGCTTTAAAGTGTGAAAATGCGTAGCTTTGAAAGAGATTTTTTGAGTGACATAGCAGAGACTGGCATGTATTTGATACAGATTCCACAAACGAACTGGATTAAGTCCTTAATACACTGAACTGGTAGAAGGTCTCTAAGGATAGAGCTCACTTTAGACGATCTCTGAACGCGACAATGGGCGCACGTGCGCCCCAGCTAAGGAAGTAAAGTGAGTAAGAACTGGATTAAATAGTTTGGACCATGAAATACTACTTAGTAATCATCAAAGAAGCAACGGCGTAGTCAAAGATTTGTTTAAAGGTTTTCTCTACCTTCACCAACTGGATCATTTAACATTAAGTCGATTTAAATCAAACGAAGAGTCAAATTTACATTAGCATACCAAAAATCTCACTTGAATTACACTAGTCTTGATACAAAACATAGGAACAACTCAACATCAATCCAGTTAATCTTCAAAAAATGCGTCTCATCCCCACATGTTCATCCTCAAACCATCTCACATCTCTTCCACAAGCTCATGCAATTGAATAAAGTCTGTTTTACCACAAATCAGCAGATTGAAAGTTCATCAATCGATGTTTTGTACTAAATACCTTAACTGAAGAATGAATAATTAAATGAAATAAAAAATGTAATATTAAAATCTCAACATCTCAATTCTCTTCGCTTTTATTTACTTTATTGTGTTTGTTTGTTTTTTTTTGTTCATCATCTCAAAAAGAAGGAAAAATATTTCATCATTAACTCACTTTGCTAATACTTTTAAAGTTTCAAAGATATTTTTTATTGGAAATCAATTTTTAAGTTTCTCTTAAAAATTGTTAAGTTTCTCTTAAAAATTGTTAAATTAACTTTGTTGCTATAAAAATCTAAATTCTTCAAATAAAGTTAACAATTTTTTTTCGAGAGTTTTATTTTTACATAATTTATGCTTTTTTTTTATTTCTTTATTAATTTGTCCTCGGGTTATGATTCCTTTACGTTTTAAATATCGAATGGCTTTTATCTATGCAATTTTTACACCCCGCATGATGTTTGGAAAGGAAAGGAAGGTAAAAAAAAGTAAGAATTATGAGGCGCGAGATTAAAGATCAAAAGACCACACCGGCAAAAAATTCGAGATGAAATAAAAACTGAGAATATGCAATTTTAATAAACAAGAGAAATATAAAGAATTTCTGTGGATCTTACAATTCTTTATCTGGTTTTTAAGATTTTTATTTTATTTTTATTCTCACAAGAAAAATGTCGTTGGCGACAAATAGGAGATTTTATGAATTGATTGAGAATTTTTTTGTTGTAGTGAAATTCTTGAAATTCCTGTGATTATTTCTAGAATTCTTTTGCATTTAAGGGAAAAAGTTTATAATGCGTGACTATATTTTCAATAATTTGACATTGACTCTCATTCGAAAGCTTGAATCTTAACTTGATCTTTGAATGTTTTAGACTTCGGAGTTGTTGTGGTCATCAAAGAGAATCCAATGGAGCAAAATGTTGTTTAAATATTAATTTTATTCAGGTTCAATAGATAGATGCTCTAGTTATTATGGGATAGCTTTTAAGTTCGGAATCATATATCTCAAATTAGTCCTTCGAGACATAATATTTTGAATCTCACTACCATAATAATGAATAACTTAGTGATTTCGAGTAGCATTTGATATATAATGATCAGAAAAAGCTGTAATATTATTTTCTATAAATCCTGGAGTCAATAAAGACTTGTAAATTACCTTAAAAATTCAATTATTAGAAAAACGATCCTTTCCTTCGAACATCTTTGTAATGTCGTAAGCATTGTGCGAATCCTTGTTATATCAAGAACACTCTATATAATGATTGAGATAAGTCCCTGATGGGAATAGAACCCACATCCTCACAAAAGAGGGTTACAGATATCTGGTCTGTTTCCTAACCACTGGCTTCACAGAGGCACATCTCTCGTACTGGTAGATTCGCCTATATAAACCCCAGATTCCCCTATTCTCCGACACCACATAATATGACGTGAGTTTAAGAAAATTGTTGATTTTACTTTATTCTAATGCAAATTGCAACTTCACAAAGTTTATTATTACCCTGTTTTTTCGTTATAAGCTACTACTCGTTATTAAGCTACTAGCTTAGTAAAGTTTTTTGAACTTGAAATTTTTTTGTAATCTTTACTAAGCTACTACCAAAAATTGCCAAAAATAAAGTATAATTAATCTTTTTCAACTTTCTGAGTATCAGTTTCAATGCCTTATGACATTGTCAATGAAATAAAATCGAGAAGATAGCAAAATTTCTTTAATTAAGTTAAAAAATTCAAAATTTTTATTGAAGTTCTATTTCTTTACTAAGCTACTCCTCGTTACTAAGCTACTAGTGAGCCAAAAAAATCACTTTTTTATTCTTCTAAGCTACTAGCTTATAACGAAAAAACAGGGTAAAATAAAAATGACTTTTTCTGCTCTTAGCAAAATTGCAAAATTTTAAATTTTGAGAATTTTTGCAATAATGTTAAGGAGCTTTCATGTCTATACTCATTTTCATCCTTTCACAAAATTTGTTTTTTTAGCAAAATGAAAGCTATTCAAAAAGATTTTAATTTTGTTTTCCTAAATGAATTAATTTTTCTTTAAATTTGTTAAGTAGATTTTTTTCCTAATTTTAAGTGATTGTTAATTTAATTTGTTAAATTTTTTTACTTTTGATCTTATTTCTGAAAATCTTATTAAATTATGAATTGATATTTTCAATTTTTGAGTTAAATGTTAAAAGCACCTTTGCACAAAGTTAAGTTTTGAATTATAATTAATGAAAAATTCGCAATTTAATAAGTTTTTCAGATCAAAATCAATCTTTATTGAATTTTTTACCAATTTAATTTTTTAATTTTTAAAAAAAGTCTGATCGAGATTTTGTTCTAGTCATTCTTACAATTTTTATGTCAAATTTGCTACCGGTTATGTTTCTTAAAAGATCAAAAGCTAGTATCTTTCTTTAAAAATCTTGTCTTAGCTATCAATCTTTTAAAAACAGTCTCCAACCTAGTCAACAAATTTGATTCCAATAATTTTTTAATAATTTACATAATTTAACAATTAAAATTACTTAAATAATTTAACAAACAGTTTCATTTCTCACACGATAATGAATTGATTTATATTAAATCTTGATTCATACATTTGATAGTGATTCTAACAGTTTCAACGTTCACAAACATACATAAAAACGCAAAATGTCTTTATTAAGGTACAAAAAAATAAACTCAGAAAAAAAAAACATTTAAAAATCGTAAATTAGTAATTGAACATCGCGCTAAAATGATTTATGTCCTTTTTTATATTTTTCAGTATCATTTGCACTCATTAATGGAATGTTTTCTTTTATAAATCTTTTACTAGAGATGCTATGCCGTATACATGACTAAAGTAAATGAAACATATTCAATATTCCACCTCTCCGCTCCCATTTCTCGGGTAACTCTTTTCATTTATTTTTTTTTGCTTGATCATGTTGCATCGATTAGAGCCCTCAAGCCTCAGCAATATTTATTTATTTATTTTTGTTTGCAAACTTTTTTTAAAAGGTTCTCTTTTATCTTTCTTTTTTCAGCATTTTTGAGATGCTTTTAAAGTTTTTTGTGTGTTTGTTTGATGATCAGCTTGGCTGAATTTTCGTTTGGTTGACAGAGTCTTTTTTTTTGGAAGCTTGGTTTTAATTGAAATATGAGTTTGTAAATTAGAGGATTAGTTTTATGGAATATTTCTACCCTGAAAGCTCTTTGCTAAGGGGTTGTCTGGAACTTATTACCCCTGAATTTTTCAAGTCTACAATCTTTTCTTCAAGATCTATTGGATATATTATTTTCGCTTAATGCAACATTTCTAAAAGATCTAGCCTACAACTAGCTTAGTCGATTTTACAATAGATGTAAAGCCTAGTACTTATTCTGTTCAAACTTATGTACTTTTTCTTGTCTAAAATATTCAATTTCTAATGATTTATTACAAATAGGAATTGAACCCGTAAGCTACATAATTTTTGAAACCATATCCATATTAGGATTTCATAGAAACCTATTAGAATGCCAAATTAAACCATTTGTAAGTTAAGCCTTCTTAGCCTAATCGTTGTAGATTTCTCCTTTATCCTTAATAAAAAACCCTTAAAATGCGTCATAATCCCAAAAACACCTTTAATGATCAAATATTTCATACTCCCAGTTAATGGTTGCCTTAATAATAATAATAATGAACAAGAAGAGGAAGGCAGCTATAAAAAAAGTATATCGCATAAAAGATATTTTTAAAAGAACCTGGAGAAAGAGTAAATTCCCATATTTACTATGTATATGTCTGCTAATTTCGCTCAAGAAGAAATTCTTTATGTTTTCATTTCTGTTGCTGTATAAGTTCTTCCTCATCTCTCTTGTTCACTTACTTTTTGAATAACGGGCGTGTCTTATCAATGCGCATTTATCAGGAGGAAGAAAATTAGAGCTGAAGATGGAAAAAAAAATCCTTCAGGATTTTGAGTATATGTGTACATTTCACTGTTTATGTTAAGGAAGCCCGAGTGAAGTATGAATTTTAAAGATTTGTAAATGAGTTGTTAACAAATCAGAAGTAATAATAATGTGTGAAGGGCCCAGCCTTTCAGCTGGAGGCACTGCGATTCAAATTAGAACAGAATCTATTGTACCACACCCTTTAGACCTACAGTTTATAGTGGGATCCAAACCACTTGCAAGCTCTGCACATTGCAAAGACACGAGTACGTCATAAGACCTGATAAAAATCAGTAGTAAAGAAAATTTTATTTAACATAGGAGTCAAACCTGTGACCTTCATGATTTTGAGGTCTATTTTTTATCAACTTGAAACATTCCCTACATTTATTTGCTTTGTGAAGGTTTGGCTAAAGTTCTATCTTAAAGCTCCTATATGCTAGCTCTCACATCCCTACATCACTCGGGCACACATGATCAAGCTCTACAAAAATGCACTCTTTATTAATATCTCGAGTATAGAAAGTATTTTATCGAAAAAAAATAATAAAAATTTAATTGAAGTCTTTCGTCTTTTGAGAGTTATTGTAAAGTTATTGCATTATTGTTGTATATCTTAATAGATGATTATTCAGCTTTTCTGTATCTATTGACTCATTTGTCTTTATTTTGCTTGTTTTATGTAAGCGATAAATCATCTGTTTTATGATGCAATTTCATTGAATTATTATTATTTATCTATGATTTCATTCTTCTCTTCTATTATTCTTATTGAGATTGTTAAACTTTTTTCTGTGGCAGAAGAAGTAAATGCTCGGCGCATCTAGAAAATTTCTTCATTTTAAAAATTGTTTTACGCCCAAATGTTGTAAAAATTGATTATAGGATTTTCTTTAATAGGATTAATTAATTATAATGAATATTAATGTAGCTAAAGATTGGGTAAAGATGTAAATTGAATATTAAATGTGGATTTGAGATTCTTTGAGCTTTAAGGATTGAGGAATTGATGATTGCTCACAAAAGCTAATATATAGATATAGAAAATAGTTTACAAAACTACTTTACAAAACTAGTTTACGGAAACTAGTTTATAAAATACTAGCTTTAAAAAGCTAGCATAAGAACGCTACTACCTCTTTTAAAGTGTAGTTAATCGAATGTAAGCTTAAAGGTAGGTTTGAGCTAGTCTATATAAATTCAACCTAGCATAATCTTGCCTAGAACAAGCTTTAGGAACAAATAATTAAGATTCTCGTTAAAATTCTCAACAAACAGAGGGCCAACATGCTAATTTGGACCATAGGAAACTCAAAAGGGCATTGAGGTTAATACCTTAATTTTTGTAAATTCCAACAAATCCTAAAAGCTCAAAAGAATCCATTTTAACTTTAAATTTATGGAGATTCTAAGAGATTCATTGTTAACAAATTTGTTTTAAAATTGACCAAAAGCTACCTATTCTGATTAATCAGTATCTTCTATTCAATAAAAACTAATAATTAAGTAAGTAATCTGTTCCTTTTTCTTTTGTATAAATTTTGTGCTTTTTTGAATTTTCTGTTTTCTTATCAAGAACCATGTAAACAAAAAAATCAACTTGGTCCTCTTTGGTCTTTTTTTTTTCCTTATAGAATTTCGTCTTCAATCTTTGAATTATTTTTGAGTTTATTCGATAAACATTCCGAAAAAAAATAATAAATTTCTTTTTAATGTCTCCTGGACGGCAATATAATAACAATCTTAATTATAACAAATATCAAACCTAATATCATTAAAATTATAAAAAAAAATCAGATTCACACAATTTCGAGTACGTTTTAAATTTCACCATTACAAGTAATTCATCATTTCTGTTGCAAATTTATAACAACTCATAAACATGATAAACGAAATCCAAAAAATATTTGTTGAAAAATTCATAATCCATCGCTGTGGTTCATCATCTCTGTGAAAGCAATGAAAGAAGAAAGGAAAAATATAAAATATTGTTAATCAAGTGCTTATCATCATCATGCATGCAGGATTTTATATGCAAGTTGAAGTATCTTTTGATGAAGGGGATTTGAGTGGTTTTGAGACCTTTTTGAGATATTTGATCGATAATTTAGATTAAGGCTCGTTCGTTGTTGTTGCAAACTCATCAACAAATCCTCAGCAATCAGTATCTTTAACCTCCCATCATCCAAAAGTTCACAAAACCCACAGCATAATACTCACATTTTCTGGAGTAATTTCAACTAAAATCCAAGTATACAACGGTTTGGCTCCAGATTCAAGTATTTTATATTTAAGTGAATTTAATCCATCAGTGTTGAAACGGTTGGCGCCTGTCACTAGTTTTTCATAGCTAATGAAGAAAAAAAGAAAATCATTTTAATTAACACGGGAAATGAACAAAAAAAAATATTTCATTTTACCGTTTTGGATTTGCTTTTTCTTTCTTATGAGACAGCATGGTGTAACGTGCAATGTTTACCGGATATCTCGCTATAAACGATGAAAAAGAATTTTTTATGTTTGGTAAGAAAGTGAATAATTGAGTTTGGATAAATTATGTAAGCATGCCCTTAAAGTGTCAAATTTTATTTACCGATATGATATCCAGCATGCTTTAGTCTTCTAGAAGCATCATCGTCCTCACCACCCCAGCCCCAAAAGGAATTCGAAAATCCATTAATTGCTTTAAATTGTTTTGTAGTCATTGACGAGACTCCACCGAAAATTGAGGAATAGGGTAGTCTGTGAGGAATAGAATATTGGCATATGATGTTCATTGTTTTTGAAAATATGTCAACGATAATCAAATTATGTGGAATTTATCGATGAATGTTTTGTTTTTGGCACAGTGAAATAAAGTAAATGTCATTATCAATTACTGTAATGGGGTTACAGAACAACGGACTGTTGTTCAAAAAGGTTTAATTGAATTACAATTTAAATGGGAATTGGTTACTGTACATGCTGAAGCTATGAATTTGTACATTAATTCTGAATTGATAAAGCAAAAGTACTGAATAAAGGTTTATCCTGTTCAAGTTTAAATGATTTTTTGAGTTTTCCATGAGCCTTTTTTAAGTGCTCTGGGAATCAGTTCTATTTCCTCTTCCAAATCATCAACAAAAATCAATTTTAAGTCATTTGATGTAGTTTTCAATACAACAAAAACAATAAACATTGAAGAAGCTTAGTTTTTTTAAAAAATCTGACACTTAGATCACAATTTAGCCGTCAAATGTTGATTAATAGACATAATATGCCTTACTTGTCAATGATATTCAGCGCTAGAGCCCTTTATTTGAGATCTAAAGACAAGAATGACGTCTATTGAATGGTTCAAATCCCATTAAATTATATAACCAAGAAAAGTGTCACGGACCATAGTTTAAGAACCACTGTGATATTGACATTTTCAAAAATATTCATTTCAAATTCGAGTTTTCAATAAAATCACTTCCTTTGACTAATTTCACCATATCGCATTTCTGTGGCATTTTTGCGCAATCACTCTACAAAGTGCATTAATCGATAAATTCCATAAAATCATTCAAATCATGTTCAAATCAAATTAAATTTTCCACACTTCAACGAAGCATAAAACACTCACTTAAAATCGAACGTATCAATGGCAACACTCATATGTCGCGGTTGATCAGGACAAGTGTACAAATTTCTATCATCCATTGGCAATAAGTCCACATCGTGAAATATAAAACAGTCCCATTCATAAAGCTTTAATGCTTCAATAAAGCCGACATTAAATAATTTTGCTCGATTAAAATTTCCATCTGACGACTGCTCAATGATGAATATTCCGTAATCTATTTGCTGCTTCATTAGGAATGGATGGAGATTCTTAAGTAATATTGGTAAATGTTGTTTTCTATCTCTATAGGGAATAATAATGGCAACGCGATCGCGTGCTTTACATTCACTAGGTTTATAACGTCCACCGGCATCGACTTTTGACGATAAACTTTTCTCAACATTTTCCAAATTTTCAGGACTAGAATCGACTTCAATCGGTCCAACAAGATCCGGCGGTGTTAAGGGACATTTATTATTGAGACCAAGCACCTTCATGATACTATCAAATATTCCTTCATCTGGAACTAAACTTTGATCAAAATCTTGATATTTTGTCTTTTTAACCTTAACATTGTGCAGTTGCTTAATTGTTTTATGCTGATTAACATCGTGATTAACAACCATTGGCAATACTGATACATCGTTACTCAGTACGGTTCCATTAACCTTATCACTATTATTACTACTATGACTAACTATTTCTACATGTTTACCACTTTTATGACTACTATTTAACTTAATATCACCAGTTTCACTAAACACACTATCATTATTATTAACTATTACGTTTGATGTTGATGTATCATTTGTAGATCTATCAGGGAGATTCAAATTTGTGGTATTGACTTTTGAGGCATTATGACTGGAGTCAATCGATTCATTTATTGGAGTCTGTCTTGTCGACGTCGATATTATTGAATGTGCATGATGTTGTAAGTTGTGGTGATTTGTGTGCGTTCTTTTTGGCCATTGAAGAGGTATGCTACGATAAAAATAAAATAAAGTTTGAGAATGAGATAAATAAATTAAATTAGTGGCAAATGTTCAAGTTTCCTTGCGTTCATGCTCTCCATTTTGTTGCTGCTCCAAATAAATCAACATAATTGATATTATGAAATTATTCAAGCAAATATAATTCGTACGAGAGATGCTGCATTGCATATGATAATAAGGAAAGTAGGGAAGACGGATGTGATTAAAAGGGGTAAGAGAAGCTTTTTATTGTCATTTATTGATTAAAGCTTTTTTTTTGGATGGTAGCTTTGTAGTGGTAACAGAGTTGAGCCTGAGATAGTTTTCAAGGATTACCCAGTTTACCTTACTTAAAATCAGATACTCGAGGAGATCTAAAACCGGTCCTTTTTGGATTGAACCATATATAAGCGAATGTGTCGATTTGGGAGTGAGGTCTCTATAGTTGAGTGGTTAGGCAACAGATTAACAATATCTGTGAAATTCTTTGGTAAGTACATGTGTTCAATTCCCACTAGAAGTCGATCACTCAATGATTGTATAGAAAGTTGTCGATATTACATTGGATTCCCAGCGAGTCATGTTAAGTTTGTAAACTTAAAAGAAACACCAAAAAGCTACTCATCCGAAAAGTTGATAATTAGTAAAATAAATATACAGAAGAGTTTCTTCTTGTTTAAAGTAATATAATAAATATGACTAAACTATCAAGATCCATATCATATGTGGGTTTTTTACTTATGACCAATATTCAGCAAACTTGACTCGACTCTTGCAGAATAAGTTCAAATTTCAATCTACTTTGAGTTTTGAAATCTTCGACTGTTAAAATTATGAAAGAATCAGAGCTAATGGCTTGATATTCTGAGAAAAAGTGCCAAAACTATTCCAAATATTCCCACAAACCCACACAAAAATGAAAATAAAAGCACAAAACCCGAAATCGAAAGAAAGAAAATTCCATAGTCGAAAAAAAAAATCACCGCAAGCAGCATCATCCAATGGCAAACAATCATAACGTCATAGCAGCAAAAAGAAGAGCAAATCCACAAATAAAATCTCATTAAAATTCTTACCTCGTATGAGATAAATTGATGGGCGATCGATCAAATTTGATTTCAAATCGTAGTCCAATCAAATTGAAGAATATTAGTAACAATCCAGCCAATAACGCTGCTTTTATTGCAAGCGTCCGGCTCAAGTGAATTGCCATAACTAATATCCATTAACAATTATCGTTCCATTTAATAAAGTCCTGCTTGATTTCTGATTCTAAAATGATAAGACATGACATTATATAATTAATTGAATGGCCTTACAATCAACCCCAACAAGAATGGTAATTGATTGACAGTTTTCTAAATTACTTATTGGAGAGAGAATGAGAGAGAGAGAGAGAGAGAGAGAAAAATATGTATTCATGCACACTTGTATGCAAATCAAAGAGAAAAGGATATGAGCATGAATAAATTATGCGAAAGCTTTGAATGTCACCAGTAACGAGTGTATAAACTCTGTTTATTCTATCCACATTATCATTCCATGTGTCTAAATTATTGTATTGCAAATTTTACGGACTTAAGTTTGGCTGAAGATGCTTGAAAAATTGGACAGAATCAGAAAAACAGACTACAATTTTTGGTTTTGAGTCCTTTCCAATGAGACGTGACAAGAATATTTTTTAAGTTTTAGGAAATTTGGCAAAAGCATTTGACCTTTTTTTGTATCAAAATAGATGAAATAAACATTTAAATGTCAGAGGAGCCTACAAAGGAGTTTTTAAAATTTTAAACAGTAGCTGCCATAATAAGGATAAGAAATTTTGACTTAGTATGAGACAATTTTAGATCTATTCTATGTAACTATAGAAGTTCTATCAAAGATTCTTATCAGAATTTAAAAAATTGCATACTTTAAAATTCACACTGTATACATCAATAAAATCCAAGGGGATAACAGCCTCGTGAGAAAAGTTTTTGATTAAAAAATAGTAAAAATTGACTGAATGTGATTAGATTTTAATTTTATTAACCATAGTTCTTACTAATCTTATAATATTTTATACTTTTAATACAAAGCCACTACAAAATGATGGAAAAATAAAACACTAAGTTGTTGTCCCCCCTGACAAAAACTCATCATCATCACTCACTTCTAGCATGCAAAGGGCATATTTGTAACACGATATTTGCTTGTTAAATGTTTCTTGTCATTTACCTTAGATTATTTTATTGACAATTAAATTAAGGCTGAATGTCTATTTTATATTCAGAACTAAAATGAACTAATAGAAATAAATGACTTAAATAGAACTGTTATCGCTGTTTGAATGCTATGCACAATATGATATTTTAAAAGTCGTGCATTTCAGTGTCACTTATCAAATTATTTGAAATATGAATCTAAAACAAGCTACTAGTCATAGGATTCTTAGTAGAAACATAATAGATTTATCAGAAAATGTGTAATTTTAAAAAAATAAGCATCAACTAAACTAGCATCAATAAAACTGAGATAGTCATATTTGTTCAGCTCCAGAATGATTAGATTAGATTTGGTTGACTGAGATTTTTATAAGAGTGAAGTTTTGAGCTTGAAATGGTTTGAACAGATTTGATACCAAAAATTAATAACGAGCAGAAGGGGGTTGTCAAAAATGGCATACATCCCCAACTTTTCATCGCTTAATCATCAACTAAGTATGGGGTTTTCAGCAAGGGTGTGGATGAAATGATCAAAAAATGATCAAAAATGATAAAAAAAAATGATCAAAAATGTTCCGCACCTTTGGTTTTCAGAAGGATTCAAAATATTATATCAGGAATAGCTCGAATTTTAATTCTGAATGGGTTTTGAGAGTTTCCCATTATTTATTATCCTTTAGACCACTGGTGGGCAACTTTTCTTGTGCCATGGCACAACTTGATGATAAGCAATGACCAAAACCGTACACTGCATGTGTCTACACACTTCCAGACCAGTGGTTAGAAACCTTTTTGTGCCACTGCAAAACTTGAAACCACACACGATACACGGTTCTTTGGATTTATCGAATTTTTTGTGGCACACTAGTGTGTCGTGACACATGAGTTGGTCATTACTGCCTTAAGCCCTTCGCATCCCTTTAACTTCGATGCTACACCTAATCCTCATTTTTCAAGTCAAAACAAATCAAAAATCTTCTTCTTTAATTAAAAAATTCCTAAAATAAACTACGAAATAAAAAATTTGTATCAAATTTCCATGCCTAACAATGAACACACATAACACCCACCCTATACACATAATGAAATGTCATACAATCAATTTTCATCGTCCTCATTATCACTAGTCATTTAGTCAATTGAAAATTCGTCACTAATTAACCTCCATTAACCTCCCACTTTAATTAGAAATCCGTTTTTAGAACATCACTTAAGATGATCATTAGACTGATACGCTATTCAGATTTTTTACTATTTTATTTCGTAGTGAAATTGACACTGAAAATGAGTTAATAATGACTACAAGCTATATAAATGGAAATGAATAATTCTTTAATACATAAAACATGAAACAATTTTCTCATGTTAAGGCACACTGTGTTTTACTACAGAAATTTATAGTACTGCATGTTGTACGTCGTTGAATAAAGGATAAAAATATATATTCGTATCCATATTTTATCACCTAATATTATTTTTGGTTACCGTCGACGTACATTCATCAGCATAATCCAAAATTCAAATGACAAAAAAGAACTAGGAATTAATCGTAAATTATTATTGAACACGAAATATATCCACCCTAACAAGCAACAATGAATGGCAATTTAATATCATTGAGGAAGCAGTCACGCAACTTTAAGCATATTTTTGTCAAAGAATTTATCTTGATGGCTATTTTCGTATTCACTTGCCTGACATTGTTGACGATTTGTTTTCATAATAAGCTATTTTTAATTGTTGAGACGTGAAATATTCATTAAATTACACGACAAGAAATTCTTGCAAAAAAAGTTCGTCTTATAAAAAATTTTTTTTCTCGTGACGCAAAAATTGTTTTTTTTTTCTTCTCATTTTTTTGGCATGAAAATTTTTTTGGGAATCGATAAGAAGTCTGCAGTAAAAGGGCTGTCTTTCACATAAATAACTAATACTTTAAGTCATAACAGTTAAAAATGAACCTTCACAATTGAAGACTTATTTAACACTTATTAGCAACTTTATGTCTTTTTCTATGACTTAAAAGGTGGTTTTCACTTTTTCAGGCACTCGCAATTTTTTTCAATAAAATATATTTCACATTTTATCAAAGTTACTCACATTATTGAAATAATTTTGAGCAGATTTAATATCCTAGTGTGCTTATGTCCCTACTACCATGTTAGTCACAAGCTAACCAACGATTAAAATGTTAAATTTAAGCTAAATTATTTGTTCGAAAGTACATCAATATTATTGTTAAGAAGACTCTGAGGTTTTGATGGGATATGCCGTCAGATGTCGTGGGTATTGTGAGAAAGTTTTCAAATTTTTCACAGCCGTTAAAGAATTTTTGACTCTTTTACGTCAATTCATGATTTGTAATTCAGTCTTGTAAAGTTATTTTTGCCTTCATATTGACAACTTTTATGAATATTATTAGACTTTGTCATCAGTTTATATTCTCTGTCATTGGAGTAAAGAATTCGAGTAGGTGGCATGAGGCCAGAAAGAGTTGCAAATTGATTCATAAACATTTAGAGGAAATGAGTAAGCGGAAGGAATTTTTCGTCAAAGTATGTTGAGTGACGCTGTGCGTGTCTATAAGTATGTCTATCTTCACAAACATGGTTAACGTGCTGACACGACTTTATACAAATTATAAAGCCGTTGGTGGGCGATAAGTTCTGCGTGCTAATCTTTACATAGAAGGACATAATTGTTGTAAATAAACAGCTTTTTATAAGCTATAATTTTTATTGTTTTTATTTACACGTGTGACTGTCATGAATGAGCACATGGAAAAATATATCAAATGATTAATTATCCCCGTCATGAAAGTATGTTAATTAATTTCCATCAGAGATTTGAAAATGGCATAAATTCTATAACTTCAACTTTAATTTCATTAATTTATTACTTTCAAGTAGTAAAATTATTAAGCAAGAATGTTTGGCACATGTCTTTTTAGCATATTAAAGACCACCCAGGCTAGGAATGATTATTAGTTGAAATTGGAGGTTTCTGGAGATCAGATGCTATTAAAAAGGATCATGAATTAAATACAAATCGCGCAGATATTAAACATTTTGGACAATTTTTGTAAAATTTTTATTTTGCTGTCAAGGAATCAAAGATTTTCTCATTTGATGCTCCATTGATCTTTTTAATTAAAAATGTTTATCTTGGGAATCGTTCAATTATGAAGTCCATCAAAAATCATAATTTTAAGACACCCCCCCCCCCCCCCCTCCCCTCCTATATCACAAAACTGTCAAACTTGAACACAAAATGTCCAATCAAATTTTCCTCGTTACAATGTATCACAAATTTTGAGACCCTCCTCCCCAAATGTTGGACATCATAAGTGAACAACCCCATTATACATCTTAAACAGCAGAAGAATTTACTTAATAAATATTCTCCAAGCTGCAGCTTCCCAAAATATCTCAATTCCATGACAAATGGAAAGCTTAGTAAAAGATTCATCCTCTAATTATTCATGCTAATTAGGCAATAGAAATATGACTAAAATTTTATTTTAATCTCATTTCTCCCAGTTTTTATCATTACAATATGAAATGACAAAATTATTACATCCAATTAAACTTTAATTGGCCGCAATTTATGACAAATAGTTCCACAATCTACCAGCAAATTTGTGAAAATGAATATTTTATTCTCATTTAATATCATGATAAATTAACCTTTTTAAGGCGCGATGTAAACATGATGTTCTTGGAAAGTAATTAATGGCATACAAATATGGCAGAGTCATGAAATGGTCCAATAAATTTGAAAATTCTTTGTCCGAGAGACTCGCATTGTCCTCAAATGTAAAAAAAATCTTAATTTTCTTTAAATCAGACAGTTGTAAATACTCATGATAAATATAAACACGACTATTCAGTATAAAGGAAGGCTGTTAAAGATCAATAAACTTCCTGCTGTACAAGAAAGGCAAAAATAGTCTATTTTCTATATCATTAATTACAATCAAAAAAATTTTTGTTATGAAAACGTACAACATACATGCCAAATTATATTATTTTTTGGGTCATAGAAGAAATGAGAGAAAATTTCACTTTCTCACAGTGGCACGATCATCGGCACAAACATTTTTAAAAAATTAATACATCTTTTTTTTGTGAAAAGCATCTTCGGATTTTAGCCGATTTTCTTTTGATATCGTGCGGTCTTTTGTGGCATTTTCTCTTGAAGTTAATATGGATTTTTATTAATATTTATGAGGAAGTCCTGGTATGCTTTATTAGATGAATTTGAAAAGCTGATAAGTTATTATGTCTGACAGCTGGAGGTGCACATGGATTCAATCGATGCCTAAACTAATTTTAGCTTTTGATGGATTCAGATATCAAATGTGATCCATGGCATGAATCCTTAACTGGCTATAACTTGATTTCTGCGATGGAATTGGGAAATTCTTACTCAATAATAATATTTCCCGTTTTAAATGTCTCTTAGATCTTTTAAATGTCATGTATTGAAAATCAAGTTGTTTTAGTAAACAAAAGCACAAAGCAACTCAAATTTAAATTACAATTATGCATTTGTAATGTTTACATCAAATTGGAGGACATGCAAATAGTAAAAATGCATTAAACTTTAATTGACAGTTTACAATTGATTTTGATTGATTTTAATTGAATTATTCTTTCGAATTGGTTTGTGGATGTGAATCATAATATTCAATTCATGTCACTTACTTTGCTGTAACTGGTTTGTTGCATTATTTCGTTTTCTACTAAAAGGCAAAGTTTTCTTATCAATTAAGATGACAGCTGTGATAACGGTCCAGCAAATCATTAGAACAAAGGTTTGATTCTCATTCGAAACAAACTGATTAAAAGTTTACTTTTGATTGATAACATGAATATATAAATGTACAATTAATTATAGAGCAACACCACAAAGTCATTGCTTCGTCTATTTGATGCTATTAGCTAGTGGAATCTATAGTACACATTCATTTGAAAGCTGACATCGATACGAGTTGATTTTCCAAGTTACAAGTTTTTAGTCTCCTTGGTTCCGGATCCTCAAAGTTGGGTATATGTGAATTTTCCAAATTTTGATGATTGTCAGCAAAACATTTAAATTATAAACCAAAAAGTTGCATTCTTAATCCTTCTAGAACCTTAATATTAAAAGCGCTTCAACACTCAGTATTCACAGTAGATCTTACTTCCTGATATTTATTAGTCATTTTCGCATTTCCCTCACAAACTTAAAAAATTTTCATTTTCTTTTGAAAATAAAAAAAAATCTTCTCAATATTTTTTCTTTAAAATTTTTTTATTATTGAGAAAACTCTTAGTAGGATTTAAAGTTTCGAGCCGAGCGGTTCACCACACATCGAATACCGCGAGAAAAAAAAAAGTGAAAAAGGAAAGAAAGAAAAGTGTTAAGTACGTGTATTGATGAAATTTGTTGAACGTTTCATGGATGATTGAAATCCGTAGTGGAAGAATTTAATTAAAATTGTAAAGATGAAAGTTTTTTTTTTACTGTGACGATATAAAAGCCAGAACACGAGCATAATAATTAAACCTAGCAAGAAAATATCATTAAAATTTTTTTATATGGATCTGTGAAGTGATTTATGTTGTGGATGGTTGAATGAATGGATTTTAATAGCACTACTTTCCTCAACTGATTACGCAATATCAGAAGTAGAAAAGAAATTTCATAATATTTTTCTTTCTAATTTTAGCATCGCACTGAAATTTTTCTGAGGTTCAGCAGAAAGGAAAAAAAGATTTTTTGGAAATTTTTCACTCAAATAAAAATTGAAAGAAAAAAGAAAAATTATTGTCGTTAATTAAACAAGAAGATAGAAGAAAAAATTTTGCACCTCCAAATTTGCGCTCAGTATTCTAAAATAGTTGCTGACCGGCAAAATGCAGGTAAATATTGAAGCTTATATCGAATAGGAGAGGAATCAAGGGGGGGGGGGGGTCATTTTAAGTGTAATCCAATTTTCGAAAGGGTCTTGTTTTATTTTTTAATTTTTTTTTCTGAACCTTCAAAACTTTTAAATGCTTCCTTATTCATGCCTACTTTAGGAGGCATCTGTTGATTTTTTTACTGTAACAATGGTACGGAATTAACCTTCAACTTTCAAAAACCAATTAATCAGTTCCAAGCCCTTCTAGAATTATTCTAAGCCCCCCCCCCCCCCCATTTCCCACTCCAATCCCCTAAATATGCACCTGTCATATGGAATGATTTCAACAAGACTTGATTAATGAGAAACATATGCAGATGCATTTCTAAAGATAGTCTGACGTCAATGCTAGTTTATTGGATTTAAATCCGTAGCCCTTTGCTCTTTCTTTTTCTCACTTATTCCGTCTATTTTCATTTCTTATTAAACCGCTTCATTTATATACAAAAAATAATTAATTTCAATATCCATTTCTCTTTCTTTTAATTTTGATTCTATTTTAAAATTCAGGTTCCATCATATGAAAGACGTCGTTTATCGTTGCGCCATGAGTCATTGAGACGTGGCAGTATTGTAGCACCAATTTCAAAGGAAGTACCATGGGATATTTTTGATAGATTATTCCTTCCATTGCTGTATTGTCATGCAGTTGCTATCATCTTTAGTGCTATTTTAGGATTCTTTGAAATTCAATTTGCATTTTCAACATTTGGAATTTTCATTCTTCTTTCAATTGCGACTGTCACGCTTACCCTCTTCTACCACAACTTAAAGGTGAGTCTTCTTGTTTTGCTATTATTCATCCCGATTCCACTTCAAGCATCTGTCATGAAATATTTCAAAATCTATTACTGTTTTTCTTATGCCAAAAAAATAATATTACCATCACTTTATTTTGTTTATGTACGCTTAATGTTGTTGGATAGATTCCTTCTTTTCTTCGCACAGTAAATACAATGATTTATACAAGCAAAAAAAATATATATTTTTGAGAAATTTTCCACGCTATAAAGTAAATGAGCTTGACAACGAGTCTGTGATGGAATGTTTTTGCTCTGATTCTTAGGCTTGAAAGATATTTTTGGTGTCTTGTCAGCGAATTTGATTTTAAAAACCATAAACAAATTTAGATGAGTGAAAATATTTGCGAAAATTAATGTTTTGTGTAAACAATAGATGTTGTTGGCTAGTCGAGAACATGAAATAAGCTTTAGCATTAAAATTGAGGTCGTCTGAGAATTTATGGATATGAGAATTCCATCCTTTGTTACATCCCATGAAAAATTCTTGT